AAAATCAGTGGGTTCAATCTGTACATATTGATATTGAAAGATGCTTATTTGGCTGACTTCATTTTTATATGAAAATGAGAAAAGGTCTGAGTTAATACCACATATAAAAAAAGAGAAAAGGTCTGAGTTAATACCACACTATAAATAGTGGCTATCTGCCAGGGAGGGTAATAGTTACCAGGCTTTATTCACTTTCTACTTCACTTCTCTATTGTTTGAATTTTTAAAAATGAGTGTACATTATTTCATGATCAGAAAAAAAAAAACATCACTTTTGGGGAACAAAGGAAAGTACCATTTAGGACCAACAGTCTTCACAAGGTTAGCAATGTCCACATTAAAATGTGGCACCAAAACTGAACACAGCATTTTTGAAAAGAAGAGAAAAATGAAGTAAACAACATTTGCTAAACACCTACTACATGCCAACTACTGGAAATGTGGCATAAATTATTTAACATATTAGCATTTAACATGTTAACATTATTTAACATGTTCTTTCTCCCTGAATAATGTAGGCTTTTTTTTTTTTAACCTAGGATTTCTATCTTAGTTTTCTGACACATCTTACTTCTTTTAAGGAATGTTATGAGGTAAATTATAACCCTCCAAAATTTTTTGACTGAAACTCTAACCCCAAGTACCTCACAATGTGACTATATTTGGAAGAAAAGAAATAACCAAAATTAAATCAGAAATAAATGAAATGGAAAATAAAAGAATCATTCAGAAAATTAATGAAACAAAAAATTGGGTCTTTGAAAAGATAAATAAAGTCAATAAATCATTGTCCAGATTAACCAGAAATAAAAAAGCTAAATCTTTAATAACCTCAATTAGAAATGAAACAGGGGAAATAACAACTGATACCACAGAGATAAAAGGGATTATTTCTGACTACTACTAAAAACTCTATGCCCAGAAATTTGATAATGTGGAGGAAATGGACCAATACCTGGAATCACACCATCTTCCTAAGATTAACCAGGTATCTCTTGAACAAACCAGTATTAAGATACCAGGTTATCCACGTTAATCAGGTATCTCTGGAACAAACCAGTATTAAGCACTGAGATTGCAGAAACAATAAAAAAGCTTCCAACAACAACAAAAAAAAGCCTGGGACCAGGTGGCTTCACATCAGAATTCACACCTTCAAAGATAAACTTGTACCCATACTGCAGAAAGTATTCCAAAAACTGAGAAGGGTGGAATCTTCCCCAACACGTTCTATGAAGTAAACATTACCCTAATACCAAAACCAGGAAAGGACCTCAACTAAAAAGGAGATTTTCAGACCAATTTCACTAAGAATATAGATGCAAAAATTCTTGATAAAATCCTAGCCAATAGATTATAGCTACTCATTAAAAAAAATTATACATCACGGTCAAGTAGGTTTCATCCCAGGGATGCAAGTCTGGTTTAACACACATAAATCCACAAACGTAATTCACTGTATCAACAGAAGCAAAAACAAAGACCATCGGACCCTCTCAATAGATGCAGAAACAGCATTTGAAAAAATTCAGCATTCTTTACTAACAAGTACATTTAAGAAAATAGGTACAAGTGGCACATTTCTTAAGCTGATTGAAGCCATCTAGGACAAACTCACAGCTAATATCATACTGAATGGAGTAAAACTGAAAGCTTTTCCATTAGAACTGGAGCCAGACAAGGATGTCGTCTATCACCACTACTATTTAAAAATTGTGCTGGAAGTTCTAGCCAATGCAATTAGACAAGATAAGGATATAAAGGGCATCCAAATAGGGGTAGAGGGGTCAAACTTTCATTCTGTGCTAATGATACGATCTTATGTTTAGAAAATCCCAGAAAGTCAAGCACAAAACTCCTGGAAGTGATCAGGAAATACAATAATGTCTCAGGATATAAAATCAATGTCCACAAATCAGTAGCCTTTGTATATTCCAGTAACAGCCAAATTGAGAAGCAAATCAAGGACACAATTCCCTTCACAGTAGCTTCCTGTGAAGGGAAAATGAAATATTTAGGAATACACCTAACAAAAGAGGTTAAAGATCTTTGCCAAGAGAATTATGAAACCCTGGGAAAAGAAACTGCAGAGAGGGTTGGGGGCCAGGGTGTATGCCACACTTTAGGGGGGCAGGACATGATTATAAGAGGGACTTTACCTAACATATCCAATCAGTCTAACCTAATTCTTGGTACCCTCAATGAATCCCAAACTATAAAAGAAAAGTGATTAGATTAAAATGAGGCCCTCAGGGTGGGGCCTAGTTCAATCTGACTGGGGCCTTAAAAGAAGAGGAAATTTGGACCTAGGCCAGTGGAGGAGTGATCTTGTAAAGGTGCAGAAAGAAGGCAGCCAGCTGTTTACAAGCTAAGGAGAGAGGCCTCTAAAGAAACCAAACCTGCTAACACCTGGATTTGGGATTCCAGCTGCCAGAACAGTAAGAATTTAAGTTTCTGTTGCTTCAGCTCCCGAGTTTATGTTGTTTTGTTACAGCATCCCAACAAAGACTTGTTTGGCTTCTGTGTGTTCTACCCACTCTTTGTAAGAGGCTGATTATTGGGAGGGTGGGTGGAGGGAGGGTGATTGGTGAGGTCACGCCTATGGTTCATCCTATAAGGGTACATGTGAATCTCTCTAATTGTAGAATATAAATGTCTTTTTTTTTTCAAGCTAATTGTCAACTTTATTAAGGAGGATTGCTTCGTGCCAAACACTAAGTGTAAAATAAAATGAAATAATACAATCTCAACTGTCATGGTCTTTTTTGATCAGACAAGTTAATACTGTTTAAGCCCCAAAAGAACAGCTTCATAGACCTATTAGTTTCAATTCAACCTTTACAATAAGAAGGGCTTGTATTTCATTGAGTTTATAAACTTTTGGTTTATGAAATCCATACTTGATCTGTTTGTTCTCTTCCAACCAAATGTGAATAGACTTGTATGACTTTTCTATTCCAAGGGTATTTCACTTTCTTTTATTCTTTATTTCACTTTCTTTTTTTTTTTAATTTATTGTTGGGGACTCATTGAGGGTATAAGAAACCAGGTTTCACTGTTTGCATTTGTTAGGTAAAGTCCCTCTTACAATCGTGTCTTGCCCCCAAAAGGTGTCACACACACCGAGATTCCACCCCTCTCCCTCCTTTCCTCTCTCTGCTAATCCTTTCCCCCACTCCTCCCTCCTTCTTCCTCTCTCTGCTCACCCTCTCCCCTTGTCATTAATTGTCCTCATATCAAAATTGAGTACATAGGATTCATGCTTCTCATTCTTGTGATGCTTTACTAAGAATAATGTGTTCCACTTCCATCCAGGTTAATACAAAGGCTGAAAAGTCTCCATTGTTTTAATGGCTGACTAGTATTCCATGCCCAATAACTAAGAAAAAGACATGAAGGCTATGTTAACCGGTTAGATGAAAGTATTTCAAATTGTATACAGGAAGAGTACACTGTACCCCCACGATAGTATTAATGTATACTGCTATGATTAAATAAATAAATAAATAAATAAACAGAGGCTGAGCATTGACCACTTTGATCCCCTTGCTCTCATTCATTTATTCAGTGACCCTGACTTGTGCAGCTTCCTATGCCAGGCACTGTTCTAGATCCTCGGGGTAAAACAGTGAACAAAACAAGAAGTACATGTGTTGTCAGGAAGCTTGGATTCCATTATACTAGAGAGAAGACAGGAAAGAAGCTAGATGAGTAAAATAAACACTTGTGTACATAGTGATAAATAAGTAGAATATACAATATGGTAAATAGTGATACACTATAAAGGGATGCAAAAACAGAGCTAGACAGAGGGTAGATGGTGTAGGGGCATCCAGGGAATATTTCATGAGGTAGGTGATCTTGGGACAAAGACTTTTTAATCACTATTAGAATCAGATGCTCCTAACAATCAGAGGGCAGTGCTGAGTAGGTTTCTAGAGGTCATTTTAAATGTCTTAGTCTTCGAGTCAGCAACCACGTCTTTCCAGCACTCTCCCAAGCCCAAAACTGCATTGCCATCACTCATTAACCAGCTAAGAGATGCTCAGGGCAATCACAGACCTGTTCTTCTCTACAGAAAACTGGCTAGTCTCAGTGACTGGACAAAGAGGGTCTGGCTGCCTGTCACTGTCAGCCAAGAGGCAGAGATGGGGATAGGTCCACAAAACTTTATTGGTCAGAAGGCCAGCGATTCCAAAGAAACAGAGTTGCCTCTCCCAGACTGTTCTGTCCTCCCATCTCCAAAACCACAGTTTTACTCATAAAAGTTCAGCATAATTTGGTGACCTTATACAGTATTTCCAATTCAATCTCCTAAATCAGTCCTCCTAAACTACTCAAGATAGGCATCTTTAACGTGGGAGCTAAATTTACGAAACAATAAGAATGGGAAAAAATGAGGTGAAGGTGAAGGGGTCTCTGAAAAGCAAAATGCAGCCTCTGCCTGTTATTTAGAGGAACTCTGTAAAGCAGAGAGCAACTCGAAGGAAGGTAAAGTTGACAAAACAAAGCAGGAGCCAGAGGAGATTACGGTGGGAGTAAACTTACTCAACTTATTCAAAGGCAGATGGGACAATAGGGCAGAGGGGCTCCTGTGAAAGCGCGTGTAGTGGGAATAAGATGGAGTCAGGCAAGCCAAGGGCATCATGACACAGCTGGTCTACGGCACTGGTGTAGGTCCTGCCTGACCTTTGCTGTCTCCCATTTTTACTGTTTTGTAAATTTAGCTCCCACCCTAAAGATGTCTATCGATCCTGAGTAGTTTAGGAGGATTGATTTAGGAGATTAACTTTTGAAGTGGAATGTTGTAATTAAGTCCCTGAGTTATACCAAAGGTTAATGCGATCTTTGCTTTGAACTATGCAAATTGAGAAAGAAGACCACATTGGAGAAAGGGTAGCATTGGGTATATAAGAAGTAGAAATTTGGGTAGCTCCCGATCCTGGAGCTAGTGAGTCTGGCATTGCTGTAATCTCCTCTCCCCTCTAATTCTGTCCCAGATGGACAATGCCCGAGAGTCGCCCACAGACCGAGGTGGAGAGACAAGGGAGTCAGAGGAAACGGTGGCTGCCCCCCGGGACCCAGGGGCTACCAATACCTACGGAATCCTGGAGGAAACTGACAGAAATGGAGATTCGGATCTAAGAGAAACCACGATGGAGAAAGGGAAGCTCAAGATTCAGGATGCCTCAGATTTAACAGCAAGTGAGAGGGAAGACTCATCGTTCCTAGCTCCTGCAGCCAAAAAACTGAAAATAGATACCACAGGAAAGAAAGAGAAGCAAAAAGTGGATGAAGATGAGACTCAGAAGATGCAAATCCTGGTTTCTTCTTTTTCTGAGGAACAGCTGAACCGTTATGACATGTATCGCCGGTCAGCTTTCCCTAAGGAAGCCGTGAAGGGGCTGATCCAGTCTATCTCTGGCACCTCTGTGTCTCAGAATGTTGTTATTGCCATGTCTGGGATTTCCAAGGTGTTCGTCGGGGAGGTCGTAGAAGCAGCCCTGGATGTGTGTGAGAAGTGGGGAGAACAGCCACCGCTACAACCCAAACATCTGAGGGAGGCCGTTCGAAGGTTAACATCAAAGGGATAAATCCATAACTGAAGTTTCAAAAATATTTTCTTCTAGACCAAAGTCTATTATTGATAGAAAAAGTACTGGTGATTACTTATTCCAGACTTAACTATTAAAGAGACTTTCCACACTGGTGCTTCAGGATCACGAGTCCTCCAAGGATTCCATGATTTTAATATTTTTCTCAAAACCCTAATATCTATAGTTTATTTCATACATATCTTGACTAATTTGGGGACCTCTGAAATCCCAAGAGGGACCATGTTGAGATATTTGTCTCTTGGCTAGTTGGAAGAAAGGTGTATGGGCCTTAACCATCTCTGGACAGGAGGGCTTCTTTCAGAGAGAGAAAACCTTTCTGAGAGAGCTTCGATGGTTTCACATTGAAGCTTAAAGATGCTAAGATAGGCTTTTTCTCATGTCTGGTTTTAAGCAGATGAAACCATCAGGTTTGACTTGTGATTCCCTGCCATGAGGCACGTTGATAGTAACAGGAGTAGTAGAAAAAATTGTGCTTATAACGATTTAAGTTTCTCCTATAGATTTTGGTGAATGATCATTAAACTGTTTTCCAATTTGCCAGAGGTATATTCTTTTTCTGCCTAGCTGGTTGGAATGATGAGAAATTCCTTATTCTTTCTGGTATCCCAATAAAATTGCCTTTTTTTTTTTTTTTTTTGGAAAAAAGAAGTAGAAATTTGAGTAAAGATCGGTGAGCCATTTCAGCCATCCCTCTGCTGTTAACGTTTGTGAAC